CCTTGTTTGGCAATGCTGTGTGAAGACATGATAAAAAGAAAAGAAAACAATTCCGGAGTGGGGATTGTGGACAATAAGCGACGAACGGGAATTACGTATAACAATAGAAATAACCTGCCATATGTGTGTTTATATTTACCCAAAAGTTTAAATACAGCAGCAGTATTACTGAAGTTTATTGACAATTCTATCAATGTTTGACGACCTATTGTTCTTTAGATTGGGTCATTGTGATATTTTCAAAATTGTTCTTCATACTTGTTTTGCATCCTTTTCCTGTGCTTAAAGTGAAGATGCCGTTGGCATTTGCAGCTAAATTTGTTTAAACGTTCCTATGATTAAGATGTATCTGGCAAGTTGCGGTCAACAAATTCGCCAGGTGGACGTTAACGATAATAGGAACCTGAAGATGGTCAGTGGCTATGACCTTCTGGACAAACTCTCCCGCCGAAGGATGTATGCCCGCTCCAATGTCCGCGAGAAGTCCTCCCTGTCAGACCACTATGACCAGCAGAATTTCGTCATCAGCCTTGATGACGTAGGAATTGAAGTTGAGGGTCTTGGGTAGGTGTTGCATCAGTGTCTTCTACTTTCAAAAGTGTCAATCTCTCTCTCTCTCTCTCTCTCTCTCTCTCTCATTGCACCCAACTGACAATATCGGATCCCATTTCAATAAGATAGAGAAAGCATTTCGTAAATTACATTACCTGCAATGAAAATCATTAAGTTTTGCAATATCAAAATCTGAAGAAAAAAAATGATTTGAAAAATAATTTGATTGAAAAGGATGATAATAGATAATACTACTCAGTACTTTAAAGATTCAACAGGCATGCATAACTTCTGGTTAAAGATGTCCAGATGCATAAAAACTCGAATAGATTTCTAATTTTGACCTCATACGGTTTCTGTGCGTGGATTAAACAAATTACTTGTGGACATGTTACACAATGTACATGTACGTAAGATTGACATTTGGATAAGGTGGATATTATCCGTAATGGTAATGAAACATTAATATTACATCAAGACAACGAACATTTATAATAATCAAGCATGCATTCCCTGTTGACCGGGTTACATCCGGCTTTTGCTTCTTATAATGATCGGGTAAGCGCAAAGATCCAAAGACAATTCAGTGTGAAATACTAGTTTATTACCAAACATTCTGATAAAAGTGAGTATGCATTTGACTTAAAGATATATTCTTTATTTTTAAAAACGCATGAATTAATCGGACCCTTTAGAAGATATTAATAAATGAGAAATTATTTGACTGTTTGTACATAATCTCAGAAGTTTCAGAAAAATATTTATAGTGGTCTTTTTCAACAGAAACATCAACTCTGAAGAATTTTTCCGATAAAGTCGTCGAATATTTTTCCATCCAAGAAAGGAACATCTGTTGGTTCAAGGCGTATTGAAAATTTATCAATTTGAATAATTTATAATCATGTTAAATGCATTTGTTTTCTCACTGAATAACAAATTCTTTGAGAGACAGCAGGTTGCCAGTAATTATATGTTTGATATACAAGGTCACGGAACTTCTTTATTCTCCTGCCTAATTCTTATCGACTCGATCATTCCGGGTCATTGCTAGACATCTGTCTTACCCGCCCGGAATTACCATTCTGCTAGTCTTAACATTGTTCACGGGGGTTTTTAATTTCGAATCAGTTTTCTCAAATTTGGCAGAGATAAGGCTTGTAGAGGATTAAGGTAGTAATGGTAGGTTAGACATTCCTTGATACTTCAAATGTTAAATAAAAATTAATGTCAAAATAATCATTTAAGTGAAGAGATAAATTAAGATGATAATAGTTTTTTGCCGATTAACCGATATTCTGTTGGCGTTTATTAAAAAAAAGGATATGAAGTGTTTGCATTTGATGACCATTGCATGAAAATGCTTATGTCATTCAGAATCATAAGTGTTGGCAAACTATGGTCAACATTGCTTCTTTACTGTCAATTCAGAACTGCTTAGATAGAAAGACAAGAAATGAAGGCTATTACATTTTTGGTCTCTCTTTAGGAATTATACAAAGCTGAAAGCTCTGAGCTTTCAGCTTTGTATAATTCCTCAAGAGAGACTATATAATGTAATCAGCGCATTCGCTTCTCACATCATCATGAGTTTTAAACTGTAAGATTGACATCTCAAAGAAATCAAATTCTTTTGCAACTTTTGAAAAATGATCTGGTCTACTCATCATTAAGAAGGTATTTCACAACATTGTTGAAGTATATAGACCGTTAGACAAATTCTCGCCGCATTCATTTGAATTTCAACATGAGATGAACATTTTAGGTCATTTTTTTTTAACCAAAAGATGTGAATCGTGGTTATGTTCATTTCATGTATGGCACTTTTTCTCTCCAGAAACAAGTTTATCAGACATTCTGGAAACGTTTTGTTCCTGTATAAAAGACATTAACTGCTCCTTCTAGCATTTATTTTTTATAACTATGCATCTTGTGAAGAAATTATTCTGCATGCCCTTTAGCAACGTGTAGGAACATATAGAACATATAGGAAAGAATATCCATTTAATGGCACATTGTTGAGAATAAATGCCGTATTTTCAATTGCTGTACATTAACTATATTGAATGCAGTTCCGTAAAAAGTTTAAATTGATGTAAATTGAAATGCATGAAGAGATTTATTTCGTCTTTGTCGGGAAGATAAGTGAAAATTATGACACCACTTGAGATCTAGGTAAATACAAGAAGTTAATTTGTGTAACATTATAGAATTCGTCCACTAGGGCGGTTATCTCAGATCGATAAGTCGTGTTTGAACTTCAATTTGAATGTTTGTGGCTGAGATGCTATCATTTAGAATTTGAAGAGGTTCGTAATCTTCGTTATATTATTTGCTTTTCACAGATCGATATTAGGGGATGAATCTGGACAGGTGTGGGATAAGTTCCCCTGCTGTTCTTTGTATAAGTGGTCTATTGCTAGAACATCTTTGAGGTAGATATCAGAAAGTTTTCACGGTGGGGCACCACGGAGTCAAGGGTTGTTTTTTGTGGAAATATTTTGGTAGTGTTGTTTTCAGCTGGAAATATCTATCAGGTAAGAATAAGGTAACTGAATAAAAAAATCTAATTGCAAGGTGTTCGATGTATGTATATTTTAATTTAAAGATTTGACGATAAGTAATTTATAATTTGATAAATAATTATACATAATTTTTAAAGAGAATATATATGCTGGTAAATAAATATCTACCGGTATATCAAGCGACAAACTTAAATGACGAAAAAGAGTAAGCTAAACTTTTTTTCTCTAAGTCCTGAGATTAAAGAGACATTTGAAGAAGGTGTTTATGCATACTTTTGCATCTACACAGGTACAAATTTTTTGAGGCTAAATTGTGTTTTTCATTTTAAGGTGAATATGGTTGTAAGTTTTTGAATACTCAGCAGCAGATGTATTTCTAATTTTCTATAGTTGTAGGTTTTTTTGAATGGTTTTGTAATGCTCTTTATCCATTCATAAGTAAATTAGAAAATTTTGTAAATTAAATGTCAGAAGAGTAATTGTGATCCATTTTTAACTCTTTTACATTTTAACTGTTAAAGATTTTAATTCAATCAACTTACTGAATCGAGGAAAAAAATGCTCCTGGTGCATACTTTCAATGTATCCCATTCAGTGATTTATTCTGTCATTTACTCCTCAGTTTATTAAAAGCCCGCTTAATTTACATTTTTCACATATTGATAGATTCTTTGATCGTCAAATACAGAAAATGATTTCATTTAAGATTGATATCTTTATTGACCCATTGCATAATATTTGGCATCAAATTACATTTTTATTAAAGATAGCATTGAATTTGTCTTAATCTTTTTTAAAACACTAGACACTTCAAGTTAAACCAGTGGGACTAAATTGTCGTGTATGAATTACAACATAAGGATTACCAGATACGCCTTTTATATCTCTGTCTCTCTCTATTTGATGTTTCTTGGATTCCAGTTAAGAGAAACAGTCAGCCCAGCCTTCTCTAGGTGAGGTCCCGTATCGTTAGGTCTAAGGACTGAATTTCTGAAGACGTACCAGTATCCATGTTGTGAGTTCTATAACACTATAGAACAAGGTCTGACCCGCGCTTGTCATCTCGTCTGTGGGGATTACAACCAAATGAAAATCTTTCTCGGCAATTTCTTGTAATTTCGCGGAATGATATTTAATTTATGATATATTAATGGTTTGTAATTGTGGGATAATATCGCTTTTATGGATTCCAGCAGATCCTCTGTTTACTGTGAGGACAGTGACAAGGCTTAGGGTCCATTGAAGCTGTCTTATCCCACCGATGATTCCTTTTCCTCTGACACTCAGATCTAATCACGATATCAGTAGTTTAAATAACAGCAAAAATATTTATCAAATACACAAAGTCCTTTAAATTTTTCTTCTTCGCACTTCAGAGTTGTTTTGACATATGATTTAATACCTTTGTGAATGTTGTCCCCTCCAGAACGGAGCACGCGATAATCATAGCTGGTTTTTGTTAGGCCTTCTGTATCTCTATTTAGTCTATTTAACCCGGTCTCTCTCTAAATAAGTGGGGACTTTTGATTTTATTTGTTATGAGTCTCTCTCTGTCGTGTGGAGGGTCTTTATAAGGAAAAACCAACATGTCAGAGGAACGCAAGCTGTTGAATTTGTTCCCTGTATCTTTGTCTTTGGAAGATAAACAGTTACTTGTGCGGTAGGTATTGATGCTTATAATTAAAAAAGTTTAAAGTGGCTCAATATTCTTAAAATGATGCTCATTTAAAGTCTAAGTCGAGGGAATTGAGGTACCAAGCTTTGAAAGTGCGTGCATTAAAATGTTTGTCTAAAATTAGAAGATTTTGCCTTGAATATACAATGGTAATTATGATGAAAATGAATATTAGTATCCGTAAATCTAATCATTTTTTTTACTAACTTGCATGAAAACGTTCTTCAAACGTTTAATAAACAATCAGAGTAACAACGTGTATCGTAACTTTAAAAGGATACGTGGACAATATATGGTTTCTTTTTCATCTATATTTTGGATCCCACCTTACATTTGCATGACATTTCTTAAATGCCAAATCTAACGTGATAATTTCTTCTATAGTCTTTCTTAGTCTCTTTGTAGAAAGAAGACTTAAATTGCAGTTGGCGTCAACCTAGAATTTTTAGTTCTACCTCTAATTTGTACATGAAAAACTTGGTCACAAGAAGAACGGTAATCAAAGAGACCCTATTATGGATTCCAAGAAATGTCAAGATAAACTTCACCTACTTCCGGAATGTCGCGCGCATTTTGCTTAAATCGTGAGCAAGTTTATTATACATGCAAGGTTCTGTTTCAGATAAGGGGTTGAACTTCCTGCAAAGTTGTCGATTTGTCTGCAGGGGATAGGTGGTCGAGTTTCCTAATTGAAATCTTGCTCGAATAACAAAATTTCTATGTGGTGACATTCGATTGTGTTTTGATGCAGTTTTGTTGATATTTGTATCGTTAGTTCTCTTTGTGAGCAAACTTCCGGTGCAGAATTATTAGATTCCATTTTTCAAGACAAAAGGACAAGTAACAATCAACAAAAATGGTTTCATTTTCGATCAATAGAGCATAAAAGTGACTGATTGAAAATACAACATTGTGAAGAAATTTCATAACAGTCAGTAGCGATAAAAATCTGTGTGTGCTTAGAGCATCGATTTTCCTTTATTACATTTATTACCTTCATAGGATTGAATTGCTATTTTGTAGGCACTAATGGAGCAAATATAATCAAAGTTTACTTGTAAATCACCACTGAAGACTTGTCACTAAATAAAACAGATGTATAGAACGAAATGAGAAATTTTGCAGATTAGAAAACTTAAATTAACTTCTCATAAACACATTATTGCTACTTCTTTAGAAATCTTGGTTAGCAAATGGTGGGATCAACCAATGTGCCGTAAACGCTTCAAGAACATTAATACCCCATGACTGTTCGGGTTGAAGAAACCAGGCGAATCTTTTCTTCCTTTCTTCTTCGCATTCTTTATGTATTTCAGTGAAATCAGTTTTATTAAGAAGTCGTGCATTTGTCTCTTAGGAACCGTGAAGACTTGGGGTATTTTGTTCGCCTTGTGACAAAAATCGTATTAGAACAGCTCAAAGAATCTGAAAACACGACGCAACGAAAGGGAGACTTCGTATTTGCCTCTGTATTTTCTTTTTCAAAGAAGGATGGTTTTGAAAAGATGCCCAGTGTCGCAGTGCGCACCTGCCACGGATTCTTTTATGTGGGTATTAGCTCCCCTTGATGGCCGTCCATTTCCTGTCTAGGAAACCCCTGCCGAGCATGTGTAATTAAGTGGCAATTAAAAAGAAAAGATTGGAGTGTACCGAGAGAAAAACCTTTTAACCTTTCTTACAAGACAAACATTAAACACTTCATTTCAAATATCTGTTATTGATCTATTCGTATATGAATATTCTTGCATTTTCTTTTGGTTGTTGTCTGAATATTTAAACACAAGTGTTGTCGGAGAAAACTCCTTTTAGATTTATGTGACGTCTCCGCGAGCTCTCGGGATTAACAGTTCCTTCGTCGTCAGTGATTTTTTGAAGTTTATTTCCATTTGGCTCTACATTTTGATGAAAAAGTTTGGAGAAATATAACGTATTTGACAATTGTTCTGTAAAAATGAGACAAAAAGGGTGTTTTCGATATTCCTCGGAATCGGATTTTCATTTACCTAGGTTGGTTTGTTCAGTAATATTTTTTTTCCTAGACAAACTTCAGTTCTAAGCTTTTATTCTGGACTTTATTATGCCAATTGCGTTAAGCAGATCGATTCTAGACTTTCATTTCTTTCCTTGTACACAATGTTTTTTTCTTTGTTTGTCAGATAAGAATTTCTGTAAGTGTGTTTGTAAGATAAAATTCGTCATAGAGCAACTATACATGTATATAGGTTTGTAGATTCATTTTTTAAAGCTTTTAAAGGTGGAATACGGAAAGAAAATAATTTTATTTCTTGTAAATGTTAAATTCTACGTCGTCTTGCGTGAAATCATCATGGTTGGAAAAATCCATTAATAGCTCTGAAGTTAGTAACTTTTATTTTTTCTTTTAAATGGAACTCTCAAAGATTACTTTCTCATTTTTATTCATTTTATTTTTTTTAAAAAATTCAAAACACAAACATTTTAAAGAAACAAACAAAAGGTCTTTGACTCCAGCGAAGGTTCCTCCTTTTACGCCCTATATACTGTAAAATTATCTGTCATGGCAGGTTTTTTTGTCGTTGTAGACTGATGGAGAGGACAAGCATAGACCACCGACGCTCTCGGACAGTGCCCTGGTTCGAGGACAATAGATCCTCCTATCAGCACCACGCCGAGTACCTTAAAAAGCTATCCACTCTGCGAGATGAACTTATTCTTCAGGAGCAGTCACACCTTGCCAATGCACTCGACAGATTACGCATGCGCCAATACAGCAGAGATAACGCGCTTGCGCGGAATAGATCAAAGGATTTTCCTCCAGACTCAAGGCGATCTTTAGTGACTACCATCGAACAATTCCAGAAAATGAGACCAAAGAGGTCTCCACCACATATATCCCCATTAGAGGGAAAACAGATTCTAGAACCACAGACTTATAAACCCTCCAAAAGTCCGCAGTTATCGGAGAAAGGTGCGTCTCAACGGTTAATGGACGACAGTGTTCGGGCAAACCTACAGAGGATACCACCAACAACCGTGCAACCGACATCTAGCATCCCGAATATAGGACGTAAATCCATCGCTAAAAGCAAGGAACTGGTATTAGATGGTTCTCCAATCCACAGGCGTGGTACGTTACCGTCGCGAGATGAGAGAGACCCATTGGAAATAAACCCGTTCAAAGCTGTGTACAAGGGTAATAATGGAACGCGTTTAAAGCGTCTAGTGCGACCAGATTCCGACGAACTTGATTTGCGAGCTCAAGCTATAAGGTTTGAAGCATTAAGTGATAAAGATAGGATAAATATGGACAAACTGAGAGAATATTACTGCATTTACTATCTACCAACAAACACACCAACGAACGTGTCAGATGACGAAGATTCAATGGAAATACCGGAAGAAAGAGTTGTGCAGGAATCGGCGGGATTTCAGCATGATAAAAAGAAACGTTTGACTCTGCTAGAGGGTAGAGGAAAAGGTGTACATCCCGCTGATCGTGTTATTAATTCTCCAAGGAAATCTCGAGAGGAACAAAATAACAACGGAATCACAGACAGATTGTTTCTAAATGGCCAGGGAATTCGAGACCAGGATGTGACAGTACCGGCGGAAAGTCAACCGCTGGAGGAAAGCCCGTCGTTCTCCATATACGGTGATCAAAATTGTGCAGTTCCTGCCCGGAAGCAAATCATTGTGGACATGCCTTCTATTGTATTCAATAACGCATCACCAGAAAATGAGAATTCTGACGTCTTGGAACGGAAGCGGCGTTCAGTGTTACAAAAGACGTTCAAGCAGAATGAGATCCGACAACGGGAACTACGTAATCTGTTCGATGACGTCAGAGAATTGAACAAACGTAGTGACGAACTGACAGAGTCAATAAAGTCCTCTTCAGATTAAAATAGTGCTTTCGCAAAAGTAGTATTACCATTCTTTTCAGAGACATTTTTCGTAATTTATTACATGCAGTAGCTCATCGGTGCCATGTCACTAGTTGCCATGTCATTGCATGCCAATTGTTGTTCATCTAGTCATTCACAAGAATCTATTCTATACACTTTTGTTTACATCAGTGCACATTGCTTAAAATTCTTTTGTTTAAAATATTTATGAAAGAAATGAATAAAATAAATTTCAAAGCTTTAAAAAGATGTGTTTTTGAAACACTGATGCCTCCATTTAGCAGATTTGGTGAAAGTCAAAGTTGCCAAATGCAAGGTCAAGACATAAAACATGTTGTTACCTAAGGAAAGGACTTGTCTGAATAATTATACCTGTAAAATATGAAAGCCTAAGCACCAATCAATAAAACAAAAATGACCAACATCAAACTTTTTTTAAAATTTGAGTCAAGGTCATGGTCAAAGTTACCAAAATAATGGTACCCAGAGGAAGGTCTTCTCGTTAGAGACGTATGTGTGAAACATTAAAGTCCAAACACCCACTGTTTAAAAGTTATGGCCAAGGTTAAGTTTTTCAAAAATAGGTCAAACTACAATGTCAAGGTCAAACATTATTGTTATCCAAACGAATGTCTTGTACTAACTGTTCAAAAGTTGTGGCCAAGGTTAAAGTTTTATTTTAAAGTTGGTCAAACTAATAAATTGTAAAAAATACTAGTACTAGTATATATAAATTCTTAGAAAAGTCTTCTCATATACAGTTTAAATACTAGTCCATAGATGAAGTACGAAAGCCATTTCCCAACTGTTCGTAGGTTATGACCAAGGATAAAGTTTGAAATTTTTTTGGCAAAAGTGGGTGAAACTCCAAGATCAAGGTCAAAAAACAAATACATGTATGTTAGAACCCAAAGGAAGGCCTTGTCACAAGGAATTATGAAAGTCTTAGCTCCAACCAATCAAAAGTTGTGAGTAAGGTTTAAAGTCTTTTGTGGACAAACAGACAGCTAGACAAACGGACGGACAGGGCAAAACTATAAACGAGTACTCCCGATTCTTCGATTTTCAGCATAACAAGATGTGTTTGTGAAACACTGATGCCCCGGTATGGTAACATAGCGAAGATTAAACTTTTCTGATATGCAAATTTAATATATTGTTTTTCAAAGTAGAGTATTCTCAATGGAAATACAATTGGGAAATATGAAAGTAGGCCAAGGTTAAAGTTTTTCATAAATACGAAAATCTCCAAGGTCAAAGCAATTTGTATCCAATGACAGGTCTTGCCACAAAGAATACATACTAGTATGTGAAGTATGGAAGCCCCAGTCCTAACCCTTCAAACGTTATGGCCAAGGTTACCGATTTTAAAAAGTAGGTCTAACTCCAAGGTTAAGGGATCATAATTCTTGATATCAAATGAAATGTCTTGTCACAAGGATTACATATGTGAAGTATGATATCACTAGCCCTTGGAGTTCAAAAGTTATGGCCAAGGTTAAATTTTTTTCATAAGTCGGAAATCTCCAAGGTCGAAGTCAAAAGGTCAAGGTAATTGGTATCTAATGAAAGGTCTTGCCACAAAAAAATACATCTGTGAAGTATGGAAGCCCTAGCCCTAACCCTTCAAAAGTTATGGTCAAGGTTACCGATTTTGAAAAGTACTTCAAACTTTAAGGTCAAGGTCAAAGGGTCAAATTTGGTGGTACCCAAAGAAAGGTCTTGTCTCAAGGATGAAATATGGAAAGAATCAAAGCACTAGCCATAACCCTTTTAAAGTTATAGTCAAGGTTTGCTTTTTAAAAGTACGTCAAACTCCAAGGTCAAGGTCAAAGGGTAAAAGTTCTTGGTATCCAATGAAGGGTCTTCTCACAAGGATTACATATGAAAGTCGTATCCCTTATCGTTCAAAAGTTAAGGCCAAGGTTAAAGTTTTTTCACAAGGACGGAAATCTCCAAGGTCAAGGTCAAAAGTTCATGATTGTTGGTATGTAATAAAAGTTCTTGCCACAAAAAATAAATATTTGAAGTATAAATGTCCTGGTATCTACTGTTCAAAAGATATGGCCAAAGTAAAAGTTTGGAATTTTTGTGTAAAAGTGGGTCAAACTCCAAGGTCAAGGTCAAATTTGGTGGTACCCAAAGAAAGGTCTTATCACAAGGAATACACATGTGAAATATGAAAGTCATAGCTCCACTAAATTAAAAGTTATGAGCAAGGTTGAAGTTTTTGCGGACAAACAGAGGGACAGACATACAGACAGAGAGACAGCTAGACAGACGGACGGACACGACAAAAACTATATGCATACAAACAAAAAAAATTGTGTTTGGACGAATGAATTTATCTCACTAGAGCATTTGCAGGGCAGTAGCAGTCCATATAACATTGATACTTTCTCAGAAGGAAATTAGTATTTGATATATTTAACATTATATAACCATTACTTTTTCTAAACTTACTTTAAAGGGAAATAAACATCTACAAAATCTACATCTTTTAATTATTAATGAGCTCAATAGACTACTAGCACCAATTGCGATATGGGACCAGAGCAAACATGGACATCAAAATACATGTACGTCAGAGATGGGATCAGGTGTCGTGGAGGAGTAGGCATCCCCCGTGGACCAAGGCTCGTAGTATTTAAAGGGGTTGCAACCACTTAAGAAACAACAACTAACATGCAAAAACTTTCATCAACTAAATCAAATTCTAAAAGAGCTAAATTGTCCAAACTCGAATATCCAGTTGGAGGGGATATTCCAACGTTTTTTACTCGAAATTTTTACTCAGAAATTACCACTAACTAAATTTCACTATACTGCAACCAAGTGTGGTAGAACAGTCTTTCAATAAACATTTTCAAGAACATAAATTAATGTTAGGGCATTCATGTAGCATCGTTTTTGAAAGTGGCGGGGGGGGGGGCAGCCAGAGAAATTTTTGTTTACTTACCTTAAAAAAAGTTGACAAGCAAAAAAAAAAAATTGCCCAAGGTCAAAAATCCTATTTCTTTGGAGGGGGGGGGGGGGGGGGGGGGGTAGAGGCCAACTTTTTTCAGGTACCGACTTCTTTCAATACCAATTTTTGGCATACAATACTACGTTTCCTTCATATCACTTTACCGTGGTAAAAACTTGGGGGGGGGCAACCTTTCAATGAACATTTTCAATGGTAAAAGTAATGTTTGGAAAAAAAGTCCCCCCTGTTGCTACGTGCCTGTGCCCTGTAGGGAAAATGTGCTCTTTGACATAATCGGACAAACGGAGACTATTTGATGTGTTGCATTTCAAGTATAATGGTTAAATCAAAATGACAGGGGGTCCAAGAAAACGTCCTCAAAAGTAAAATCCGCGAAGATAATTCAGTGTAAAAAAAATCGCCTTACAATTTGTATGGGAAACGGCGATCGACATTCATCTTTATAATTAAAGATTGTATTTTTAAAAAAAGTCATTGTATCGACGAAAAAATTTGCAAAAAATATTAATGCTTTTAACGAGATTGTTGATATCCTTTTATCATCAACTTATTTGACATTAGCTTGTAAACCTCGTTTTAGATATTGTTTGTACATAGTACATGCTCTTGCGTATCGATTCAATTGAAAGACGTAAATCCAATATGCAGGTGATATTGTAGATCTATAATGCTACATAAATAAGGGAAGTTTCCGATAGAAATGTTGAGGTCGTCAAGTTTATCATCAAGTTTTTTGTTAGTTTGCCATCCATTTTTTTTAATATCCTAACTGTGTCAGACTATTTGATGTGTTGCATTTCAAATATAATGGTTAAATCAAAATAACATGAATTGAAATGATTATTATCATATGAATAAAATTATTTATTCAATAAAATCGTTAACTGGATTAAAGTCTTTGTCAAGATTAGTTTTAAACATGTCATTTTCAAAACTGTGAGTGTATTTATTGTTGACTTCACAAAGTGTATTGCCAGTTCTTTACTAATTTACACGTTCTTTGTGACTCCATTTTAACTCTTTGAAATGATTTAATATATGTCATGTGATACAGTATTTTTTTTTAATTCAACTTATTCAGATTTATTGGGATGGGGTTTCCACCAAAATTGGTCATATCGGTAACTTAATCTCCAATATAAACCATGTAAACGTTATTACAAAAGTCTACATATGTACATGTATGATCGTCGTAATTGCGTGTAACATGGACTTCTGTGTCGATTGGTTTTGCAGATAAAGCATATTATACTGTATGCATTATTTCAATTAAAATTAAATAAATTAATCAAACAAGTTGATAATGGATTACTTCCGCCCAAAACTAGATTGAATTTTAGTCTCTGACAAGAATGTAGCTTACTGGTTTTTACTACGGAAGAAAAATAGCAATTCGACTTGAAACTATGCAATGGCAATATTTAGAATAATTGGTTGATTCCAATCAAAAACTAATAAAGAATTATTTATCTTAGTGTAGTCTACGTGTACCAAAGTACACTGTCTCTTGAAATAAGACCGCGCCAGTTGCAGGAGTGGCATTTTGAAAGTATTTCATACAAAAAAAATATTTTAGTAACCATAGAAACACCATTCATCGGAATTAGAAATATGTAGTTAGAATAATGTTTCTTAGTGTTACTTCTTGTGTGCCAAGTTATAATGAAATCAGACCAAAACTATAAAAGGAGTAGCGTTTTGAAATCTTAAGATATCACAGAAAATTCCTTTGTTTATTAACCATGGCAACATGATTCATCGCAATTAAACCAACATATAATATTATTAATTGTAGTGCAGTCTACTTATGTGCCAAGTTATACTGAAATCAGACAAAAAAACCCATATGTGGTGTGATTAAGAATCATTCCACTTTTAATTTTTTGCATTACTTCCCTTTGCATGCTCAAAATTGACACAGTTTGAATCAAAGGTGTTTTCCCTACTTTTAGCCATTGGCCCTAAATCTACATGCATTTCTTTTACTGGCTTTATTAAGAGGTAAGTAATGATCAAAACCACCTAACTTAAGATTTGATAAGGCACTGTGATTCAAAAGTAAGTATTTGGACCATTAATAGTCAAGTAGTAGTCTATGAAATATTTTTAAACAGGTTTATTCAATGTTCATTTTAAGTTACAACAAAGAAACGTTTCGTTTGTGTAGTTCAAAGATTTTAAAACAACAAGACTTACTGAAACATTACAAACATATAATGAACCTTAACTCATCTGGAAGGTAAAAATAAAGCAGATTGAGCAGTAATGGATTTTTTTCATGATAATCAGAAATAATTCTGAACTATGTAGTATTCATTCATTTTATAATACTCAATGTACATAAAACTCAGGTTTTGAGGAATAATACTGCTCAAAAGATTCCAATACTGTGAACCAACTATTACTCACAACAATTATTCAAAAAAGTGTCAGACTAAAATCCTGTTACAGCTGTTAATTTTCACAACTAAGGAAATGTTCATACTTATAAAATATCAAATTTGCTTGCAACAAGAATATATCTGCAAGTTAAATTAAGCTTCACACTTGCAGATAGTTCTTATATGCAAATTAAAGTTGGTTTACAGTATACAGTAAAACACGTTTAGTACGAACACGGATATAGCGAATTCACGGATATAACGTAAGTATCCTTTATTTTCCCGGCAAAATTCTTAACAAATCTTTGTAAAATTCTACGGTTATATAACTCTGATATAACGAATTTACGGATACATGCGAACTGATTTTGAGTCCCGTTGAGGTTAAATGTAATGAATTTTACATCTTTTATAACGAACTTTCAAAGATCTCAAAATTTGATCAATTAAACTGACTTTGTTTTCTTTCAGCATTTTTATATAAAAGTCAATTCATAATAAAACCTTAGTTATCGAAGGTATGTTTTGTAATATTTGCTTCCCTAACATATTTGATAGTAACACTTGAAGGAAAACATGCATATTGCGAAATCGCTATATATGGTTATACGAATTCGTTATACGGATATAACGAATTACGGATATAGCGAATTAAATTCACAGGTCCCCAGGACTTCGCTATAACAGAGATTTACTGTATCAATAAAATCTTAAAAGAATCTGAAGAAGTTGATGAATAAATGACACACAGATATGGTTACCTTAGCAACAGATGCAAAACTCTGAAATAAATGTATGTTGAATGAGAAATAATGCAAATAAATAAAAAATGGTTCATTGTTGTAAAAGAAACATCGTACATGGTTATAACATTGTTGATAATGTTTAAAAAATACTTTGGACATGAGGTGCAAGGTCACGTACAACCTTAGACAACAACATGCCAGGCAGGCACTTATCTCTAACTTCTACTGTGTAGTCATGCACTAATCAGATCTAATAACGGGTAAAAAAAAAAACAATGATCTATATCATAAGGGGACTATATACAGGCAGTTTTTAATATCAATGGCATCATTTTGTAGCACAACTCTCAAACATACATATTAGGAAACTAAACTTAAACACAAAAAACAGTTCACAAGAACAATAAATTGACACAGAGAAAAACACTTTCAACAAGATGAACATTAATTAAAACAGGAGACAAATGTTTAGATTTAAAGAATTGACAATTACAGAATATATTTCAATTATAGCTTGACATTCATCACAATAAATTAAAACATGTATTTAATAAAGCAAATTGATGAGATTCATGAAATAAATGTCAGTAGAAAAATATTCAAGTGTATTACAACCTTCAGATAGTTGTCATTTGTTTCCCATTTTTAACATTAAGGGGGTGACCATGCTCATAAAAAACATCTTATGATAATGGTGGCATACATGTATTCTTAAAAAAATGAAAATGTTTTACATGATGATCAAAGATGATAAAAATACATGTATAGACAACTTAAAGATAATGTTCTTTTTCACAATACAAAATGAATATGAAGTATTCAAATTCTTCACAGAGAATACTTGATAAATATTTTGAAAATATAAGTAGGGATGAAATGGACTAGTTTTCTTTCTAAGGTCAATAATCAAGAATCAAAAAACGCCTGAATCCTACCTGAATTCTCAATGTAGTTGAAGAACATATAATCTCACACTCAGGTATTATTAAGGATATCCGATCCTCAGCCAGGAAGGATAACTCCAAAAATCAATACTAAATTTGAAATGCATCAAAATGAAGCTTGAAAATGAATAATTTTTATGCAACAATTTTCATTTAATTCATCTTAATATGATGCAAAGTTTCTGGAAGTCGTAGAAAAGGTCTTATAAAAGTTGACATTTGTACCCTATAAAAGGGGAAAAATAATAACAGTTTTAGAGAAATGAGACTTTTCTTGAATCAAGGCTTAGATATCAATGTTTTTTAACATAATACGAAATACAAAGTGATTTGTGGTGTCTTGCAATGATAGCAAAAACCTTTTACACTATGTACTGTAGAATATATGAAGGAAATAGAAGTAAAAAAATACCAAATAAGTATAAAAATCATGACAATTTCTCTGAATGCCTGGATACCTATCATTTTTAAACCTAAAATATAATTGTTGGTCAATTTGCAATTAGAAAATGCATTGCAGATACAGTGGACCTTCAGATATCCGGACGCCAGACATCCGGACGCTTCACCTTCCGGACGATTTTTCTCGGGAACGGATTTTTTCAACGTTATTTCAACTCATTTATCCGGAAATGTTTAAGCCATAAATCCGGACGGCTCTTTTTTACTACAAAATGTATTTTTACGTTATAAATTGGTTCATTTATCCGGACGGTAAATTTTAATTTGTTCTTCCATTCTTGTCAACATTCACGCCTGAACTGAGTGATAATTGTTATCAAAACGCTGACCGGATTGATTGTTTTTACAAGACGATCACCTGTGACCTGTTATGAATGACACGATGATCAGAGATCGATCTCTCGTATATTATGACCATATCCACTAATTAGCATTAGTGGATATGGTCATAATATACGAGAGATCGATACACAAATGAAAATAAACAATTAACTGTGTTGGTAACAGAAAACAATTGTCTATTCAATTATTTGTTATCTACGAGATATTTATAATTTTATTACAGAGCTGGTTTTAAATATTTTTCTATTTATAGACGGGACGACATATGCGTAGTTTCATAATCACGTAGTCTACTCATGTGCACACACAAATCGGTATTGTAATTTCATCTGTAGATTGGTGGCAGTTATCATAAAAAAACCCCTAAAACATTCAATCAAATTTGAATAATTTTAGACAATCAATGATTTCGCTTTGGATGATTACTGCGTGAATGTTTATTATGTCAGATTTAGCGTCCACAGATGAGTGTTCAAATTAAAAATTATACTCGATACTGACAGCTCGCTTGGGTGTAATCAAAGCTGCAAATGAGACAATTCGCTTGGCTATGTTCATCAATTTATAGAAAGTAGAGAGTAAAAACTAAGCTGGGTAATTAAAAATATGCCCATAAGCAGCGGTATATCCAATGTTATTCATTCTGCTTCCAGCTACAACCATGTTTAAAACCACCGGCAAAGAGAGCGCGAATTGTGGCATTTAGTTCTTAGCTATAAAAATATTTATTATATTTGAAAAAAGTGTAAAAGTAGTGCTGATGTATACTAAAGATAAAGTGTTCAAAAAAATTAATTATTTTCTATATGATATACCATTTATCTTTCTTTATATATGAGTTACAAAACAAATACAGTATACATGTACCTGGAAGAGAAATCAATAGAATTCAGATATCCGGACGCTTCACTTATCCGGACAAATTGCCTGGGAACCAAAGCGTCCGGATAAATGAGGCACCACTGTATTCCAATTCTCTTTTTCTGCAAAAAATATTGGAGATTTGGCATTTTTTCCTATATACATGTAATATGATTAACTTTAATCTTTAACTTTAAAGAAATTCTGTGGACAAATTTACATAACTTCATGGATTTAGAGATACTTTTATGAGTAATTTTGATTTCTTTACTGCTAATTTTAAATACCTGAGGATCGGACTACCTTAAAACATGAAAAAAAAAAAAATCAGGTACACATTTTTCTCAATACGCTTCAAACTCTCAATAACATGTATTTCTATATAAAAATACCCATCCAATAATTTTCATAATGACCATCATATAATGTAAACGCATGCAGCTATGTGACTTTGTAAATTACAATCTCCAATCCTGCAAAATATTTCCATGGAATGTATGATAAATTCAATAGCTCTGGCCTGCCTGACTTTTTTGACAGATCAACAGGTATTGTCAACCGTGACTAAAACACATTTCTTACAATTATTTTTTGACTGATATTTACATAAATTTTGAAAACTTCAACTCCATAAACTTCATTTAAATGTACTTCCTTCAACAAAAAATCCGTTTTAAATTAAAAATTCATCATAAAATTCAAATATGGCAGTAAACTATTAATAATTAAACACTATTCTCATACAACAACATATAAATTTTTTGACGGGATCTGTTCAATTCAGATTTTGGTGTATCTGTCTCTGCAACCCAATGATCATTTCAAATAAAGGTACCGGTAACTGCTGTCAGGAGAATAAATTAGACACCCACGTCAAATATCCAATCAGAGCTCAGTACAGTGACCTTCAGCATTTGTTGGTGTCCTTGATCTTTTTGCACTGAGGCTGATTAAGCAGCTGGTTGAGGGTCTTTTTAATCCTAAGACTAGTGAGTCTGGCTTTAGGGTTACACTTCCAACATTCCTGAATCAATTTACTCATCTGGAGTAAAATCTGAAGTAAAGCAATAAAAGATTACAAACAAGATATATTAAAACTATAAATTGTAAAAGTATTCATTTCAAATATAGATTTCAGGTTTTACCCAAACAACCAAGTTCAGCTTATATCTATAAATTTCAATGTAACAAATTTGTCCCTTAGAATGGCCGTTGATCTAAGGAATGTAAAACATTTCAAAATGCATTCCTCTAAAAATATTACTTGTTAATTTACTATCTGACTAAAGAGTGAATTAACGTACAGAGTCTGAGGACCATCTGTTGGGAATGGCTGGTCGTTGTTGATCAATGACGACAACTTTCTTCATATCATCAAATGAAGGATCAGAGGGCACCACATCCCAAAATGGTGGCTTATAGTCATCAAACATTCCTGTGAATACAGAATTAAAGCATTAAAATAAGATGTTAAACATGTTCTTGTTCCTGTGGTAAAAAAGGGTTTTCTTTGTAGATTGCTTGCTTGTCTCAAGAGGCTGCAACAGATATGCAGCCTTGCAATTATTTGGTTCATAAATATAGAAAAAGCAATATAAATTCTATATCAATTTCTCAAACTTTTTCGTACCTTCTGTAACACATCTCCTTGCAATCTCCCAAATCACAAGGCCAAATGCATACACATCCACTTGTTTAAAAGCTTCAAAATACTCAGGATTCAAGGTCTCATCCAGAAGCTCTGGGGCCATGTACCGCTTAGTACCTACTTTATTATTCCGACCCAAGTCTATCTTATTGTTCTCTTGAGTATGTGTGACAGCAAGTCCTAAATCCCCAATACAACAATTTCCATTGCCCTTCACCAAAATATTCTTTGATTTAATGTCTCTGTGGGCGATGGCAGCTTTACCCTGGTTTCCTACAATCTCCGTATGTAGGTGCACGAGACCTGCAGCTGCAGAGTGACAAAGTCGTAACATTTCCTCCCAATCTAAAGTTGTGGATTGGAGGTAGTCATAAAGTGAACCATTTTCATGATAATGCATGATTAACCAGAGCTGAGTACAAGAATTTCGACTGGTCATATCAGAGGCGTAATATCCCAGAATTCCCTCATGTCTGAGCAGACAGGTGTTGTATATTTCGGTTTCTCGTAACCAGCTGGCTTCATCTCTGGATGAGAAGATCTTTACAGCTAAATTCTCATCATGGTATCTCCCTCGCCACACAGATCCATAGCGTCCTTTACCTGTGTACAATCAGACAAACACATGTATCAATAAAACCAAGCACTCATTACTGCATTTGTACATTAATATATTACCTATAATGCAACAAATTTTTATAAGAACAAAACTGTTGAATCATCATTGTTCTTGGGAGACCAATGCTCGTGGATTTTGTGGGGCACCCTTATCTACAAATTTACATCCCCACAAACAATTTTTTGCCAATATATTTATTAATTGAATCTTCTAAATATAAATTTGACAAGAAATTTCCTTTAACATTATTATTCTTACCAATACATTCTATGAGTGAAATACTCCTTGCCACAGTCGCCTGGACCAGAAAAGGAAGACCGGATCCACTCCCAGAAGTGCAAGATTCATCAATCAGTTCCTATAAAGGTAATTCTTACATAAGATGTTTTATCACATTAAATAGCTATTATATTCCCTCAGAAATAAATAAAATTTGGATCAATCAATAAACAAATTAAAAATAGATATATTGATATATTTTTTTAAAGTGTTAAACGGCTAATTTGATGACAAAATATATAGATAAACAGTTAATAAAGGTTTTAATAATTCACTTATTTATTTTACACTTTCATCTAAAACACTTTTCAGAAAATAATTTACTTTTTTATCAAATTCTTCAATCCATGATTGCTAAAAGATTTGGCTTTTATTTTTCTTTCCGTTTAAAAGTTTACATGCTAATTCTAATTTGAGTGGCCTCCCTTACCTGTAGAGTACTGTCTCCGACCTGTGTGACCCTGATTCCCCCATACTCCTGGGGCAGAAGTTCCTCCCTCACCCTGGGGCTCTCCTGACTCCCGGGCTGCCGCTTCTGGAGGTGTCGGAATACCAGGACTACGATTACCACGGCTACGATCAAGACTCCAATAGGAACCAGTACCGCCATTAACATGTTCATGTTAAATGTTGTCTCCTCAGCCACTACTACAAAACATAACCAGCAAAATTCAAAATTAAGGTACGTTCTATTATTGTAAATTGCTAGATTGTTTGAAAGACTTGTTAAATCAATCCATTTTGCATCTTTCAATAAAAATTGGATCAGTGTTCAAACAAAAGATTGATGTCACAAATATAAATTTATAACAGAGATACCCATCATGTTATACCTTTGGGTGGTAGTGTCAGATCTTCCACATCTACATTACAGAGATTATAGGCGCAGCACTTGACCACAAGGTTGGGGCCCCCTGAGTCTGGCCTCCATACCACGTTCCTCTTCCCCTGACAGTTTAACAGGTGCTTCTCCTTGTCTGCCCCACAGCCTTTACGGATACCATCCTCCCCATTCAAGGCAAAACACTAGAAATAGGGCATGTGTCCATCAAAATCACAACCAAAACAGTCAAATCTATATTATACATCTAAAAATTCAAGATAAAAGACTGATCAAACTTCCACCTAGTCTTTACAATACAAAGTGCCCTCCAAAGGAAATAACTAATATTAATTGGGACAGAAGTATTCATTCTTGCTTCCCTGCAGATGTTTCAGAAAGTTTTATTCTGGATATAACTGAAAGCAATAGTATTCCCTCCTATTCTGGGAGGTGACACAGTAATTCTAGTAAGGGCAATACTAACCACTGACACCCTGGAGGAGTAGCAGTGGGTTGTTTTTTTTTTGATTGATGATACAGTTGAAGGTTAATAAGTAATATAAATAGGGCAATAGTACTCACCCCTGCCCCTCTGGAGGTATTACAGTAATTTTTGTTATGGAGACAGTTGAAGGCTGGCTGACAGGCACACATATACTGGTCCTCTTCATTCACTGTACCACTCATATTTAAGTTTCTATCCAAACCAGGCAGGGATAACCCTGTAAAAGAAATATTTCTCATCATTATATTGAAGAGTTTAACTTCAGAATCTTAAATTCTGAAGGGGGCCTTGTAGTATGTGAATTTGAGGAATCAAGACCATGTAAATATAAGGAATAACAGTTAGAATTTTTAGTTTCATGACAATGATCAATCGATTGGCTTGCCTGATAATTTTATGCATACAAGCCAATCGATTGCTCACATCATGAAACCAAAAAATCAGACATTTTTGAAATAGGTACTATACAGGTATATTTTCTGTGTTGCGAAGGAAATAAGAATGTTAGTATCAATGTTTATTTTATATCATATTGATATTTTAGAAATTCCTCCAATCCTAAAAGTATGCATTAATTAATTCTTTAATCAGTTGATTACAAGCTGATATAATTAAAAGAGACTTTTAATTATATATATATATATAAACCTAAATAATATAAAACTGCAAAATACATGTATTTATTAGATATCTTATTGCCTAATACCGTAAATAATAAAATACCTTTTCACCATAAGCATGAGAAGACTACAGAAATGTACTAACATCCAAGAAAGAAAATTTGCAATTTATGACATGCATTTATATGGTTTGAATGTACTGAATATTTTTGCAAGACGTGAAGTGATGTTTTTGTATGCAAGACATCAAGTTCCCAAACAAATATTAGCAAAACAAAACTCAAGTAGTTTAAAATGAAACTCTGAAAAAAATCTCTCAAGCCATTATATATATTTTTTTCTTTTGGATACAGGTTTTAGGGATTGTATTACTTCCAAATTACAACATTTCAGATGTTAATATGCCATTCATATTCCAAGAATGTAATATGGTCCTCTTCTCACATTTTTTAAGGTAAACCTAAAACACCTGCAAGATTTCACCTTTTAGAAGAGTCCAACAACAATGAACACTTTAAATTTATAAACCTTATAATTCTATTACTGAACAAGAAATGAAATACATAGCTAAAAAATATTCCTTTTATATATATTCTTGCAATGAAAAAAAAGTTGGGTTACCTTTTAGAAGACGAGAAATATTTCCCTAGTCTTAAAACACTTGATTAACCCAGACTTTCCTTCATAAAGCACAGGGTTAAATAATGACTTATGCACAGTGTGTTTCACAGATAGATTCAGCTTTTTATCATTTTCAGAACCTAGCAATTTTAAACATCCCTGTTTTTCGAGTGCTTGCAGGGATTACAATACTATGGGAGTTGACAGTCCATACAAGTTGACTCAGTCTTGTGTGCGGGGATTCCACCAGCCCCCCAGTGTCAGTTACAAATAATAGGACCCTCCACTGCAATATCTATTGACAAAACCAAGTTACCTTTTAATCTTACAAATTTATTCATTAAGATGTTGAACATTATATACAATAGAGTAGTATGTGATTAATTTATATAAGACCCCCACGAGAAGTATTTTATTTTTTCTAACTTGACGTTCCTGTGATTATGTAGAGTGGGTTGCTGCACGTTTAAGTCATAAAACAGGAAGTGACACTTGTACAATGGTCTCTGCAGAGGAACCACTTGTGTGGAGACAGGCTGGCGTGGCCCCTCCCCCCTTTATCTAACACTACCAAAAAACATCCAGACTTATCTTTACTACCTTACTAATGAAAACCTGCTCTTCATCATAACTAGTTATAAAATGCCCGCTGCAAGATATTTTACCTTTTTCTGAATTCTCTCTAATTAGTTTTTTTTTTACTTCACTTTTAGCATATTTATAGTTCTGTACTTATTATCAATAGACATATTAGATGCTGTGTTAAAGCAGGGGATGACAAATCCCATTGCCCGACGCCCGGGGCTAGTGAATTTTAGGGGTGGGCAAGTGGAATTTTATCAACCACTTGCCCGTGGGCAAGTGACTTATCAAAAATTAGAATTTATTTGTAGGCCATTTAAAAGCTGGTCAAGGGGGCTTGCTCAGAATTTGTCTTCCTCTTTTTGGAAATATCTATAAATACAGAATTAGTTTATGGTAGGGCAAGCAAAAATTCAGGTAGGGCAAATCAATTTTGACCATGTACTTGCCCTTGGACTAGTGCCTTAAAAATCTATTTGTCAGCCCCTGGTTAAAGTGTAGTTATTAAATATTAACCAAACTCATATAGTTACTGAAAGGTTGATTTGCTCATCACTCAGACTCAAGTCCAATATACTATTCCAGTATGAGTAATCTGGTAGATGATGCAGCGACATTTTATGTATACAATATCTTATAAAACAGATAAAGTCTGATCAAAATTACAAGCCTTAGCTTATAAATAACATCAAGCCTTCTTTTCCTCAACAATCATGTGTTAACAAAAATTACAATATGTACTCAGAAAATAGAAGTCTGCAATAAGCAATAAGGCTTTCTCTTCCTGAAGGGCTGTCTGACACTGCCCCTTAGCTGGGAGGCTTTGGCAGCTGTATTTCAAATATTTTGCTAGTTCTCACAGAGTCTGACATATTTTAAGGATAGTTTCAGCGCAGATGTCATATCCATGGTCACATAATAAAGCTTCTGACTGATGCAATATTCACATGACAGTGCATATGCACAGAATGCACACCTGGTGCATCCTTGCCCTAAATTAACCCCCATAGAACAATCACGAGCTGGGTGGCATATGTTACCAAATATAAAGTAACTGTACTCAAATGACACAATGATTGGGGCATGAAATAAACGTTAAACTATCAAGGTACAACTGTACTGTTTTAATGGTGTAAAAAAAAAATTATTCCAATTAACTGCACAATTCTCCGATATAAATGTTAAAGGAATTTAAATATCTCTAGTCAATATGATCAATTTACGTCAGGTGTCTCAATTTTAAAAGAAGAAAACCTTACCTACTGCAGAATTAACTTGTCTTGAATAGCAATTTTAAACCTCCTTCACAGCTAGAATTTGAAACAGTTCTCCCCCCAAATCCAGTGATAAAATATTAATTTAGCTCTGTTTGTGCTGCACACATACTCTAGTAACATTTTCCAAGTGATCCCAAATTAGGAGCGATTTAAATACTGAATACCCTTTTTCTTCCATTTCTCCTTTCTGACCATGTGGCAAAAATAACAGCGAGGAGTAAATTAGACCAGAGACGTGCCAGAACATACATGAAGAGGGTCTACCGGCTTCTCTAATTTAAATTGACCTGGGTGAAAATAAATTTATAAATCAGATACAATGACTGAGTTCTATGTGCGAGTCCACACCTGGGTATTAAAGGGAAAAGTAAACACTTGACGATCATTGTACTGCAGAGGAGCTTTATTCCAAGCAATCCCCGAGTTCCTGTACAAGTCCCCCATTTGAATCATCAGTCGTGAAAAACATAATAGGATTTTATTCAGCTGCTAAATCGTCAAAAGAGATGTGTAAGAGATGATAAATTTAGATTAATATTAACGTCACCATAAGTCCCCTGAACTAGGCATGAGAAAAGAAAAATTTCAAGGTGTTCAAAGTGCAAAAAGTAACATTATGTGAACTATCCAAGCAATCCTGAAAATCCAATATCTTATTGATTTTTTTAACTGAAAAGTGAAAACACAACAGAAGTCCTTTTGTGTGTATCTTCTATATCAGGATATGTTGAAAAGCTTTACACTTATTCAAAAGTTCAAGTTGATATTCAGACTGAAATCTGATGAATTTAAAAACTCTGGATAAGTTTCAGTTCAATGTTTGATAATGCAAAAATGTTTCCGTTTCAGTGGAATATTATTCAAGGACATCAATTTCAAATCTTTTCCACTATTCAAATTCATATTTTCTGGGCTAAGTAGTTACATGTAATACAAAACGATATTCTTAATTGAGACAAGTACAGTCCAATCTCTTTATCCTTGAAATTGATGGGACCCATAAATCGTTTTGACATTTGTATCCTAGATTTTAGAAACTACATGAAATTCAGCATTATCATATTAATATAGAAAACAAAACATATTATTTTCCACATAACATCCTGTATCATTCCAAGATATTTATATCAGCCAGAGGATCAAAGGCCAGAAGGTTGATATTGGTAGTGGTCAAAGACTGATATGTGATGTGGAGAAAGCATATTTATTACATATACTTACTGTAAATGTGTTATATTTAGCATATACGATATTTGGAGGGAATTGATTTTTGAACAAGACTGTAAGCGTAGATTTGATTAAAAGCATTTCTAATTTAATAATGTTCTTATTTATGTATAGTTGTACTTGAGTTAGCGGAAGATTCCAAAAGTGTGAAAAAGAATACACAGCCAAATGCAATATGTTAACACTAGTATAAAATATACATAAAACATCTGCTTTAATAGATACTAACCATTGCTAATTTTATCTAAGAAGATCGAGTAATGAAAAAATAATTGGAGAATGTTAATGAAAGAAAACAGTTGTGTTTTCCCAATTACATGAACTGCTTTTTAAAGGTTAATGTCATGTATGCAACTGCAAGCATTGCAAGGGGCATGATATAAATAAAATATGTATCAGGTAGCCTTCCAGGATCCATACTGTGCAGTCCTGGAAGCTGATATGACTATTGAATGAATATGTTCTTAAATAATGAAGTTGTGGTTTATTAATTAAAATAACTCTATTTCACTGACACCTTTTTTTTTTATTTCTGGATTAATTAAAAATGAAATACTAAAATTTATATTTCCAACATTCTGTAGTTTTCATTACTGACATTTAAAAGTTTTCATTATGTAACAATAATCATAAAGATCCTTTCCAACAGTGAAAATAAAAATTCCACAGATTTTCCATCATTGATTTCCAACATAAATTAAAATCTGGTGCAGTCACCAACATATAAATCGGTGGACATTGGATTTTGGGAACAAAAAATGCATATAGCTCAAGCAAAACTTTTAATAAGACTTAGTGCTACATTTATCATGATTTATATACAATTTATTATATAATACTTTTATTCAGAAAATGAGTGGTTTGAAATAAGTGTAATATTTATATCCTGTTTTATTTTGTGCATATTTGATTGTTTGAGAGGGAACCCTAAAATATTCTGAAAATGTAATAAAATAAATGTAGGAAATAAAAATTAAAAATGTTGAGAATTAATTTCAAAATATTAAAAAACTGCAAAATCTAGGAAATGAGATGCAGTGATCCAAGACCTTTAACCATATTGTATAGGTCTCTATTACTTAGCATCCCTGATTCTGTTTAAGCTTCAGTTTTTTAATAATCATGTACAGTAAAACTCGGTTGGTTACAATGAAGTCACTACATAGACCTATTAATTACTTCACTATATCCGTAATTTTTCATATAAGGAATTCGTTAAATTTATATAGCTGGTTATCCACGATAACTTTGCAATAATTGGGGATTCGCAATATCCATGTTCGCACTAAACGAGTTTTACTGTATAAAATAGCTATGCCTCTGATAAAATGGACTGGGGGACTTTTTAGTGTGCAATCACTATATCAACAGTGTTTAACAATACATGAATGAAAACTCTAATTAAATAAAAATTTTCTTTTCTAAATCTACATCTGATGTTTCACATATGAAATTTCACTAAAAAAAACCCCCTACAGCCCACGACCCAGATTTGTGTATGATAAGTAGAGTAGCAGGTGCCCGTAAGTCTGGGTCGGGCTCACGCACACCCCACAATGGGGGGATTCACGGGAGGATTAGCTTCACGATCAAGGCAATTGAACATATAAAATATTCAAAAATATAAAAGATTTGTCTTATATGACATGTTGATTATCAATAATAAACAAAGAACAGAAAAAGAAAGGGATACATATACAATCTCAACACTAGACATTCAGTCGCCAACTGTTTTTATCGATTCTAAATTTAAAACTTGGTTTAGATTGTAAAACATGTGTCAAAAAGTTAAAATCTAACTTCATAAGTATCGTTACTGTCAAGCAGTAGAATATTTTGCACTACAAACACTTACCCGAACCTGGTGTTGTTATTGTGAAAACTAGCAGAAAAACTCGCAGCATTTCTCCGCCATGACAGTTCTTTTGTGACCTTCAGGTTAAAGTTAAAAGGTCAAATTTATTTCCCGCGATATTTCAAACCATATAGGCCTACACTACTTTAGGTCTATGATGTACAGCGTCTATTATATTTATATAAAATATTTTCTTGTATATTTTTTTTTATCCTATTAATAAAATACACGTTTTTTTAATTATGACAAATTGAATTATGGCTAAATACAGTAAAAATTTCATGAAGAAGAGGGGTCCTGAAAACAAAACTTTTCAGTTTTGACAACGGAAATTAAATGGGTTTGCCTTTTATTTGATAACTTAAACTTAAATTCATAAATTTAATTAATTTTTTTAATTAACACTTTATTAGATATCTTCTTAAGTCAAGGGTTTCTGATCTGCTAGGTATACTCTCATCCTCTGACCTCACATCTTTGCTAGTAGGGTTTCTGACAAATCCTCAAGGTTAGCAAAGATGTCTTGATTTTCAAAGAATATTTTAAACAGTTTTCACACTTGATGTATTTGAATCTTTAACTTAGACTGTAATTTTTCAAGATTGAAAATTAGGAGTATGATTTAATTCTTTATTAGATGCAGGGTACTTGTTCAGGAGAATACACTGTTTTTTGATTTGAACACATGAACAACTGTCTATCAAACAGGAAAGGAGAAAATGTAAGTCTAGGCCCAGAATTTGAACCAGGTACCCCTAGAGGCATATTTAGTCAGGTACTCTACAAACTGAGCTTTCTAGGTCAAAATCTATGGTCAGCAAAGCATTTTCTCCTTGTCTGTTACATATTTTGGTGCCTGTCATTTACTTCAGAATGATTGAAATCAAACCTTCCACTGCTCCTTTATGCTGATGGCAGTGTAGAAGCTACATTGTCTTGGAGGTCAAGACAATTTGGTATGCAAAAGTATAATGGTTTTGTCTGTGGATATCAGTCTGGGTAGCTCATTTGGAAGAACACCTGAATAATGTATACTGATGCCAGAGATCACAGGTTCACAGTCTAGCCTAGCTTACATTTTTCTCCTTTCTAATTAAAATTAATAGTTTCCATCTACTTTTTAAACACAGTGCGAAGTATTCAAATTCTATAACATTTAGCAGAACATAAAGATTTTGACTTCAGAGATTCCAGCAGGCCTTACCTAAACTTCTCTTAATAATTTTTTTTTAATAAAGCAACAAATTCAGTCCTAAATGTGTTCAATGAATATTTATTGTTCATATGCAGTAAACAACAAAGAAATGATTCAAAAACATTAAATCAGAATTGTATAAAAGTTGTGATTCATATGTGTAACAATGTATTACATAGTTACATGTTCTGTGTTAGTTCAATATAGAATTAATCTGAATGATCTTTATAAGTACCAATCCATTGTGGGTTTTTCATGATTCTTGATTCATTCACAGAATGTAGAACATTGTTCTTGGCATACATATCTGATTCTAATACATGTAGTATAATATTGCAGGTACATTTTTTATAATCATCAATTCAAACTTGGAGGTAAATAACTAGTGAGCAAAAATTTTCGAAAAATATTTCATATACCCCCTGGTAATAAATCATGTGATGAACAAGAAGTCTAAAAATATCAAGATTATAAGCACCTTTTACAGTCATAAAATTATATAATCACAAATACAAAGACAGACTTAACAAACTGTAATTAAATATTTTTTTATCTACTTTAAAAAAAATTTAAAATGTATGCAATGAGAATTAAAATGAAATTATTATCTACAGTAAAAAGCTATGATAGTTTTCTTAATTGTAGTACTGACTATTGACTTATGCCAAGAAAAGAAGGCTTACGGGCCTACATCACCTGATTTTTTAAAGGGAACTTCATCTAGCTATATGCCATATTTATCTAAAGTGTCTCATTAAACAGTTCTAAAACAACCAAAAAAAGGTTTACTCCAGCTTGCTAGAGATTCATGCCGAGATACGTACTGTTGCGAGAGACATTAACTGAGGCTTTTAATGGAGGAGTAATTTATGGTTCAAATTTTAAAATTGCCTTATTTTAATTCGTCCAGTTTAAAATTTGCCCTCTTGTAAAGTATGGTTGAACTCGAGGGATATTGCTTATTCTAATATGAGGAAAAATCTTGTTCACATTTCTAAGCACAAGTTTGTCAAATCTGTATAAGTAAAGAAGAAACTTTTGAAAAATTACATGCCACTTCAAACTCAGCTCTACCAACATCTGAATTTTCCAAGGGAAAAAATCAACTTCAGTCAGGTACAAATATGAAATACACTGTACAATATTAATGCTTTTTTTTTTCAAATATATACTTGTACTTTACATTTCTTGTAATAATCTCTGATATTGAAATACATATACACTTTACTATACTAGTACATGTATTGACATATTTGGTGTATTCCAAAAATAATAATTAAAAAATATGACACAAAATGGTAATTTTTAATACACTTAACATGGGGGTAAGACAGGCACATCACACAAGGTATTATCTTATTGTGGTTTAATGGAAATATACTGTTTTAATATCGCAAAAGACAAAAAAAAAAAAATGTTGGCGATGTCAAAATTATCACAACAATGGTACATGTATAGATTTCATTTGCCATTTTTTTGATAAGTTCTCTGAATGTAAACATTTCAAGCCATTGTTTGAATAAATCCCAGCTGACTTTTTTTTTTTTTCTACATTTAGCTAGAACCCACTATAATCAAATTTATATATACTAAATAAATGAAATAAATACTATCTGAACAAGCACCATTTCTGAAATCAACAATATCACAAAGATTTATAATCACAAGAAAAACACAGTTTCATTAGTCCTTCAAATTAAGTTGTGAATACAAAGTTATACTGTTCATTTGGAAGGATATATTAAAAATATCTCCTACAATAGTCTGTGTAAAAACTAAAAAGTTGATCAACATGACTGTGTGACTCTGTAAGAAAACCAAAGATCCCTTTGTAATTGAATGTACGTTTAAACAACTTCTTTTAACTTCTGGCCCCTTTAGTTCTAAACGGTAAGGCTTAATTGAACAACTTCATCCTGTTTTTACTACTTATTCTCCATTTACATATTAAACAGATTTAAATTCTTTTCCCCCAAAGCTTAAGATAATATTAAGTTAATACTTTGGTCAATAAAAAAACAAAACAAAAAAAAAACAAAAAATAATTGCCTGTATATGCAAGCTATTAAAAAAATCCTGATTACAGATGAAACTCACTGTATTGGTATTCATTTTGACAATGCACTTCTTTTCAGAAAATAAATTTGCTGTATGAATGAGTAAATATCAAAACATTATATATGACTATTTTCTTCCAGTGCAAAGAGTGTTAACCTTTCTTCCCCAAATGTCAAAAAAAAGCCTTATTTAGATCCCCTGCCTTTTCCCATTTTGTCATGGTTCTATCCCGTCTTGTGTTATGTGGAGAGTTGCAGAATTTGTCGTATTTTGTCGACACAGACATCGGAGGCCAGTCTTGCCTCTTTGCTTGCTGTGGAGAAGTTGAGGAAGCCATGAGGAAGATCATCCACCGGATGCAGCTCCACCTGGTTACCAAGGCTACGCAGTCGTCGAGCAAACATCACCGCATCATCCAACAGGGGATCTAGGTGGCAGGCCTTTAGAAAACACGAAGGTATCATTAAAAAGAAGATAAAGGCTGTCATTCATGAATTTGTTTTTTTAAGAAACATATATCGTCTATGTAAAATAATTTGAAATGATTAGAACATCAGTTTATATAAATAAATATACATATTTTAAAGTTCTTTAAATACAATCTATTTTAAGATGTCCTAGGGCCTTCACAGTCACTGAATATAAATAATTATAGGCAGTAAGTGGTACAAAACACATCTTGAGTTCTATCCATGTTTATTTACAAACACATTTACAGGCCTACTTACCACCATTTTTATGGGAGGTAGACACTTCAGCATTTCATCAGGGGCCAGGAACGGTGACATGTAGGGATTCTTTACTATTGGATGTTTCCGGAACATCTGTAGAGGACTGAACCTCTTGTGAACTTCCTTGGTGTACTGGGGGGTGAACTTTCCAGTGAAACCGTATCGTAGAGATTCGCTGATCTCGGGACAGGAGGGACTGTGGGTAAGAGAGTGGCTATGGTGGTTTATCATTGACAGGTCCAATTCCAGCTTTTCTTTACTGTCCTGTGAAACTGACTTCTGCATTCCTGCCATATCTGACCTTGTCAATGACCCTGCCATTAAGTCCATTACACAGGAAGTATGACCTGGTCGGTTTTGTTGTAAATGTCCGTCAGATTTGGAAGCAGGAAGGGTGAAATCATTCACCGCTGTATCATCATTGGTTGGTTCTGAGATGTCTTCAGGTTTTACAATATCATAATCCTCCTCTTCAGAACTTTCTAGAATAATTTCATCGGAGTTCTCTGTGGTTAAGTGTTCCACCTCTTCTATACTAGACTCCGAAGCCCGATTGACCGTCTTTAAAATCGTAATGTCCTCATCTGAATCTGCACAGATTCCCTCCAGAACAGAGGACTGCTGACTAGAAATATCTGGCTCATCATGGAGTGATTCAATGGAGTGACATCTGTTTGATTTGTCCATTTTTTGTCCAGAAATGTTGTGGTCATCTAAATTCTCCAAAGATTCAATGGAATGACAGCTACTTGTCATTGAGGAGAAGTTGTCTCCCTTGTTTCCAGTTTTGTCCTTGTAGTTAAAGATGTCTTCATCATGGAGTGCCTCTTCTGCCTCAATGATCTCAAAAGGTTCATCTACTGCATTCTCTATCTTGTCTGCTATCCCAGCATATGCTTAAAATAGATTAAAAAAATTTACTTGTTACATCATGGACATGCTTTGCATAAATACATGGCTTATCACATGTAATGGCAACTCAAACATTGCATTAATTTTTTAAAATGCTATCTGCAGTCTTTATGACTTTCTGTGATGACCCCTGTTCATCCTTACATTTAACATGCTAGCTGCAATAATGTAGCCCTCCCCCCTTTTTTTAAAAAAGAAAAAATCAGATTAAAAAAAATAAAATAGGAGAGGGATACATTATTGCAGCTATTAACACACATAAATTAAACTGTAAAACATCCTTATAACTTTGAAATTAAGAAATCTGTAGAAAACTTACCTGCCAGACACCTCATCATGATTCCTACTGGTAGGAGGGGGTCCATCAGGGCTAGGATGCGGGCAGGAGAGGGTGTGTACCTCACCAGGACCACAGGGTAGGCAGTCATAATCCCGTCCGGGATCTGGATCCCACAGGATGCTGCCCTCAGAGCAGTGGAGATCATCAGGTTCCCTCCCGCACTGTCCCCAGCCAAACACAAGGTCTCTCCCGTCCAGCCTACAATTCAATCATCATGTTTTATTAAGGCTTTGTAAATTAATCAGGCCCAATACACATATTACATACCATAAACCAACATTCTAAGTTTACCAGTATCTTTTACCTTAAAAAAACCATAGGTAATCAAAGATTACGAAGCTCACCTCGACGAATGTAATCAGTCTAAGTAATGCAAATCTCAAATCATATTTTCTTAAAAGTAAGTATTTATTCTGACAACAATATTCAAGCAAGTGCTGTTTAAATAGGTCTTAAAGTTCATTGGGATTGATCTGTTCCAAAAACTTTAACCTGGTCACTCATCTGGAAAATGTAGGTAAGATCCAGCATCCAAAGCAAGTTTTGATTGTTCATCCTTAGATGCATCATCCATGCAAGTTTGCTCTAGGTAGGACTTATGATTACTTGGGAATAACCTAGTCACTAATCTGGAAAATGCAGGTCAGATCCAGTATCCAAAGCAAGACTGGTAGTGTCCATCCCTAGATGCATCATCCATGCAAGTTTGGTCTGGGTAGGGTTAATACTGTAGAAGCACCAATTTTCGTGGAGATAAAATTTCGTTGATTTGTCATCAAAAATAGTTTCGTTGGCATTTAATTTCGTTGTTTTGAGAGTAAGCCTTTTCAATATATAGTCATATAAAATTTTGTGTGGGATTTAATTTCGTTGATAATTGTTTCCAACAAAATAAATGAAATTAAATCCCCAACGAATATTTGTGCTTTTACAGTAGTTACTTTGGAATGGACCTGCTCCAACCTGGTCACTCATCTGGAAAATGTAGGTCAGATCCAGCATCCGAAGCAAGTCAGGTAGTGTCCATCCCTAGATGCATCATCCATGCAAGTTTGGTCTGGGTAGGGCTAATAGTTACTTTGGAATGGACCTGCTCCAAAAACTTTAACCTGGTCACTCAACTGGAAAATGTAGGTCAGATCCAGCATCCGAAGCAAGTCAGGTAGTGTCCATCCCTAGATGCATCATCCATGCAAGTTTGGTCCGGGTAGGGCTTATCGTTACTTGGGAATGAACCTGCTCCTAAACTTGAACCGGGACGCCGACGCTAACGCCGAAGCCAACACCGGGGGTATAGCACAAGCTCATCTCGACTTCGTCGAGGTGAGCTAAAAATGTATCAAATTTGTTCTTTATGAATAAAGCTACAATTCTCTCTGATGAACCATCAAAAGTTAGGGCATGTAAACATTCTTTTATGTAAGGCCTAACTGTTTGTTGAAAGACTTTTGTCTTGATATTTTTTTATTGTTCAAATGAAATAATGTATAGCAATTATACTTTCGTTTTAGTCATTCTTATAGCTCTAACATAAATCTTATCAATGTACACTTTAATGTAATTACCAAATAAGAAAATTCATGTTTCGTGACCTACTTTAATCTTTTGCTTTGAGACCATTTTCTATAAAACATTAAGACATTTACCAAGTTTTGTACGATTTTTGATGGCCCAGGCATAGGCAAAGAAGCACTCTTCTAGAGCTCTAGGAAATGGTTGTTCTGGAGCCAGGGAGTAGTCTATAGACAGTATGGGAACATTGAGATCCTTAGCCCACTGTCTGAGATAGATCCCGTGGGATTTGGAGGACTGGGCTACAAACCCTCCCCCATGACAGTGGATCAAGAGACTGCTGGACATTGGGAGGCGATGGCGGGGGTTCTGATTACCATGACGCAACTCCTGTCAACAGAATAAAAGATGGGTCATACCGGTATATCAAATTATATATCGTAAGTAAACAGGACTTTAAACTTCAATTTTATTTATAGATTTGATAATAACATCTCTTATACTGTATATGTACTTAAAAAAGCGGGATTCATATTTTTGCTCAGAAATCGTACATATATACAATATACAGTGTGGAAGTGTGTAGCGCCAATTCCTGAATAAGTCAACAACTCAATACACGTTGATTGCCCTAAATTTTGAATATGCTAATTTATGTACACGTAGAGTATTACACATGAAATGAATTATACATGTAATATAATTGAAGATCAAAGCATATGATGGTAATATTTACAGACAAATCAGAGAAACTATCAGTACCTGCCCCTCCCTGGGTTCATATGACATCAGTCTGACTTTCACTGGTCCTGGCCCAGTGTGGGCACAGGGAGCTGTTATTGTGACCATGTCTGTTGGATTGTCAGAGTTCACAGCTGGTAACTCAAAAGACTCTGGCATCAGGTACATCACCTCATTCACCTTAATGGCTGGACAAACTAAAGAAGGCAGGGCCTAAACAAAATAAAGTCAATGTTGGCAGAAATATGTTTTGGACAGAAATATAAGAACAGTAAAATTAGGTAGAGTTTATGAATACATTACCTGCATAATGTCAGACTCTGTTATGGACCAGAAATTCTTGCAGAATTCTACACTGGCTGTTCTTGTTACACTCACAATCTGTCAGGAAAAAAGGAGAAAAACTTTTCAACATTGTCTGATTGAGACAATTTCATAAATTCAGTAAAAAATAAGTCTAAATTATTCATGTATTTTTACACTGGTTTCTTTGGTCTTTATTGTGCTACAAATGATTGCATCTTCATATTCCTATTTTACAATAGGCATTTTACTACTTTATCAGTGTTTAAAAATGTTTCCAATAAATCAAGAGATTAGTTGAGCCCAAAGCCGTAGTCATAAACTGTACTCACCTGCTCTGCTCTGAGTTCAGGGTTCATGAAATACTTCCCGCTGTGAATCACAGAAGTGGTCAGCTGTTTGAAGTTAGTTTTCTCCAGGTATCCCTCACTGAAGGATGCCATAGCAACAGCTACTGTTGTCAGGGGTTTGTGCATGCTTTCACAGAACTAAAATGTACAAGACCGATATGTGGCATTTGTTCCTACATGTATCAACTTTTCATGTGACAGTTCAACAAATAAATTCTAGCATTTTTATGACAGCTTGTTACTTATATCTTACTCATGCAGATGATTTAAATAAACATGGTCTAATATAAAAGATACTAAGCAGATTAAATCAATATTAAAGTACAAATTATTGATGACAAACCTGGAAACCTAAACATCGTCCATAGAAACAATTTTGACCCAAACTCTCTACTTCCTCCATCAAGCGCTCTACCACAGGGTCGTTTAAATTGTCTTCATCAGCAAACAGTGACCCTTCCTGACTGTAAACTACAAGTTTTTGGGCATAGTAAAGAGTGGCTCTTAACTGGCCGAGACATATTACATAGGCCTCTAGTTCCTTGCTGTAAAAGTTCCCTCGGAAAAATAAGGAACTGCGATTGGCATTGACATAGCGAGACAGTCTTAAAAGGTTTATGCAGCATTTTTGGACAACTTTCAGAAGGCTGCGATATCCATTAGCCTGTGTGTCTGGTGACAAATCGTACTTTGGAAGAAGTGGCACTATCTGTTCAATGGATGGCTGTATACCTCTGAAAAAAATTGTAGAAATATTTTTTTTTTAATCAAATATATTTTATATATTTTTCAATTAATTCTTTCATTTAAGGCAACAAAAAAGAGTGAATCATTTTTAAAAAGTACTGACATTACTATCAATGGGTTGTTCACTGTGAATTCTCTCATAAATTGTACAGAATTACCTTCCTAACCAACATCTCATCACAGTTTACCACTCACCTGTCAAGATGCTCAAATAACATGCAGAAAGACTGATGGAATTTAGCATGTGTGCTGCTTGTTCCATGCTGAAAAAATTCAATGTTACTGAGTGATAATGCCCTTAGATCTCTGAATAAAGAGTTAAATAGTCTCGCCATTTCGAATGTCAAGTGACATGTCGCAATATCATCCAGCTGTAAATAAAAACACAACCAAAGTTCAAACCGGAAGTACTTCAGCAGAGAATTTTTCCAAAAAATCTTTATCTGCTAGATTAATTATTTACAATTTAATTTAATGACGATGATTGATTTTTTATTAAATAAAAAATATCAATTTCATTTAATATATTTTCTCATTAATATTTCAACCAATGAGATTCCAGAGTTCTAGAAAAGCAGAATGAAAAACAAAAAGATGAAAACGGTAAAAACATTTGACAGCTGATATTTTAGATATGTTTTGTTGTAATGACAGACTCTTTTTGCTACTTTAACTCGTTGTATCACTTTCCTTTATTGTCGCTGTATAGCATGGCTAATGTTTTGTAGATAAATAAGAGTTGATGCTTTTCTAAAATTGCGATTGTTTTTGTCTAGTCAGGTTTCATTGTTTACGCCATAAGATTTGCTAATACGTCATAATAAGAGCACTGTTTGGTGAATTTTCATGTCAGTATATATTGAGAAAAATATAATGAAAGATTTTTTTCATGGGATTTTTCATCCTTAATATTCACTAAATTAGATTAGCATGTCTAGAAGTGTAATTACACAGTGTAATTTGATGTTTGTGGTTTTGAACAAGTGATCATGATCATCACAAAATTCTTTGATCCCTCTCAACTTCTCTACACTTTAATAAAATATCACTCTATAGTAAATCATTTAGGCCTATTTAAAATTCTATACATCAGATGCCAAATTTAAAAGTCCTAAATTTAAGTAATATACGTAAAAAAAAAATACAGAACATATTCTATATTTACCAAATATTGGCTATAATTTGTTAAAAGGACAAATCCCTTTCCCCAGTCGACAATAGAACACACGTTTTGATGTGGCGTCAGTAGTCTAGTGGTTAAGATGCCGGACACCAAACCGAAAGGTTGTGAGTTCGAATCCTGGCCACGGCAAATCAACGTTGTGTCCTTGGGAAAGGCACTTTTCACGAATTTCCTCACTCCACCCAATTGTAAAAGGGGTACCTGGCTATAGACAGTGAAAGATATTGTCAGAATGTTAGTGTTCTAGCGCCTTAACGGCAGCTTGCACTGAGAAAGATTCTGAATTGTTATGGTCTGCTGGGGTAATAATGTATTGTGAAGTGCTTTGAGTAGCATTTATGCTAGAAAAGCGCTATATAAAAACAATCATTATTATTATCATTATTACATTTTAGGAGATTGAAAGAAGAGAAATTATGATTTGTGATCATGTCCTCCAGTCTGTTCTATACTGAATTACTTAATCTAGATTATCCCTGATGTAATACACTGCTCCCTCTTTGTCAAACTCGATCATCTCTTAATTTTGAACTTCAGTTGCTTTTAATTTTAACCAATAATCAAACTTTCCCAGATGATCTTGATAACATAATTTGTTGAATTTGTAGAGTTGACAGTAACTGGTATAATAACGTGAGACAGACAGATTCCAGGGGGCCCAGTTGTTCTGAAAGATGGCTGAAGCAATGGAAAGTGTAGAAGACTGCGAAGGAGAGAAAATTCTGGAGGCTTCACATTCCAACAACAAGGCAGGAAAAGACGGACTTCTATCCAATCACAAGATTTCACAGAATGAATCGGGCTTTGATTTAAGCCTCTGTGATGGCTCACTTCATGCAGAAAGCTTTCGGTCAGATCTCACTGCCAACAACACGAGTGATTTAAATCTCAGCATACCCAAGTTTGATGACAGCGGCATTGACTTTGAGAAGTCTCCCATGTCAAACAGTGCCAAGGACAGTGGTCTTGGGCCAGAGCGCTCACCAAGTCTGAAAGATTGCTCTATGTCTGAGCTGGATCTCAGCGAGTCTGTCTCGGAGTGTGTGACAGACAGTGGAAGTGTAGCAAGGACTAGTTCAGAGTGCAACTCAAAAGTGAAAACAGAAAAAAGAAAAACAGAAAAACAAAATAACAATAAAATTAATCACGAAGAGGCCAACTCTGTTAAAAACAGCACTGCCGATACATCTGAGAATAATAAAAGTGATGGAGCAGTGGGGAGTGACAGTGCAAATGAACCAGAATCTTCAAAGATAAATAATGTTGACATGGAAACCAAAGATTCTGATGATGACTCTGACATTGGTGCATTCAGAAAGCGCCCAACCAAAAAACGCAAATACCGATTCCAAAGGATCACCTCGGACAGTGAAGATGATGAAATCATCCAGCATGAGGGAGAAAATACTACCGAAAGTCAAGGTGAAATGGCTGACATTGAAACAGAAAGTGATTTGGATTCTGATGACTTTTCAGATGATGAAATAGAGGACAATGAGGGATCTGTGAAATCGAAATCAGATGATCAGAAATCAGATTCTGAAGAAGAGAAAGAAGAAGAAGACAAGGTCAAGCCAAAACAGACCTGGTTTGCATTGAAAGACCTCAGTAAACGAGAGATGGGGTTCTCCAACAAAACTCCACCCTCAATATTCCGGGAAAAAGTGCAAGGTAGCTTACAAATGGTGCAGAGATTCAAACTACAGTACAAGATGGAATACCATGATGGATGTGTCAATGCTCTCAGCTTCAACAGAATAGGTAATCTTTTCTGAGTCTTCTTTTTTTTCATGACAATTTTTTTTCTATCAGTCCATTTTATTTCTGATGTTGAATGTCTTCACATTGCAGTTTATAGTGAATACCATGATATGTAAATTCAGAAGTCATTGCATTATGGTTTGTAGTGTGTAAATCTGACAGATATTTGGCAAGAGTGTAGTGTACAGATGTATAAGAAATAACAAATTCAGAGTATTAATTTCAGCATGTTCAGATTATGTAAATATTTCAGTAGTAACAAAATGGCATTTTTAGTCACTTTCACATGTGGGAGTTCATGATGAGTTATTTCCTGTTTTGTTAAGATGTGAAATATGAATAAAGAATGACTAATTACATAACAAATCTTGATTTGGTTTTCTTTGCAGGTACTTTGCTGGCTAGCGGCTCTGACGATCTGAATGTGATTTTATGGAATTGGATAAAAAAGAGACCTTCACTTGTGTATGACAGTGGTCATAGAGGCAATGTGTTTCAGGTATCTTTTCTGAAATTCTTACAGACTTTTTACAATTTAAATGTGTATACAACATTATGGATTGTCCTTTGACGTAATTTTTTTTTTTTGAGAAATCATCAGGACAATTTAAAATTTCCTTTACTCAGTAGAAAAAAGAAATGAGATGCTTATCATGCTTATGATCCTTTTTGTAGGAACACATGGAGATGGGTGTTGTGCTCCACAGTTAATTGCTATCCAATAGTGTTTTAATTTTTTTCAACACTGATAATCATTGTGTAATCCTTCTGGTTTTGTAATACAGGCCAAGTTTATGCCATTTAGCGGTGATTGTCATGTAGTCAGCTGTGCTAGAGATGGTCAAGTAAGACTGGCCGAGTTATCACTGACAGGTGTGTGTAAAGGGACCAAGAAGCTAGCACAGCATAAAGGGGCAGCTCACAAGGTAAGTCTACCCACTCAATTTACTGTATACATGCAATGGTATTAAAAATTTTAATCAGTTACTTTTAGGACACTACATTGTAGATCACTAAATTTTTCGTGACACCTTATTTCTGCGAGATAGTCATTGACTCTTTCTTATCAAGACTTTATACTTTTTATACGTAAGAATGAAATTTTGTGAGCTCATTGTCTCGAGTAATTTCGCGAAAATAAAGTTCCCGCAAATAAAAAGTGATTTACAGTATACAGGAAAGTAAAAATGTAAATTATTGATTTGATTTTTTATATAGATGACCACTAATTTGAATGTGTACTCTTTTTCCCAGCTGGCTTTGGAGTTAGACTCCCCCCATGTGTTTCTGAGCTGTGGTGAAGATGCTATAGTGTTTTCAATTGATTTGCGAGATGATAAACCTAACAAGTAAGAATTGTAAATTTTTTTTTGCATCAGTTTTTTTCTAAATAAAAAACATTTACAAATATTCTATAAACCAATCATATGACATGGTTTACACAATGTTTCTGATTTCAGGTTGTGTCAGACGAAGTCTGAAAATCTGTGAAATTCTTTTGAAATGCTACTCCTCCTGCAGTTTTAATCCGGTAGGGTTCCCCTATACAGCATCCATTCAAATCCTGTCAACTCCAATGAATTTTGTGTGGGAGGCCGAGACAGATACATCAGGTACATGTATTTAGTGTTTATACATATACATGAATATGCTGTTATAATGTATATAGGTTTGCATGCCAGTAAAGTCGTTTTACCTGACACATTACAAAGTCATGTCATGAATTTGTATTTTAAGAAAAATTAATGTAATGAATTTCATATGTTTTTGTAACAAAGCAGGTATGTGTATTTCTTGTATGTACATGTATTTTTACAATATGGGCATTTATTACACTCATGTAATTTTTTTAATGTACTATTTTAGAGAACTCCTAACAACACATTAAACATGTAAATCAAATAAGTTTATCAACATCATACAATGTACATGTAATAGTTTATAAACATCATACAATTTACATAGTATTAATTTGTGTTTTGATGATTTTAGAATTTATGACAAAAGAAAGATTGCAGATGTAAGTAAATCTTATTAAAATTAAATCATATAATGCTGTCTGTATTTAATTTATTTAAAAGCAGTGTGTATTTTAATTAAACCTGCACTCATAATTGTTACCTTTTGTATAATTTTAGCTAACCTGTTCTGAATATTGAATTGATCATTTATTTAATATCCATTATTGTCACCCCTCTATAATATTTCAATGTTTTTCAAAATAACTTAACTTAGCCTATCTGGCACAAATAACCTAAGAAGAAGACTGTAGCTTTTTATAAATGGTCTTACTTGTAGCTAAAAAATCAGATGTGCATGATAAAAACAACTGTACAGTCAAACATTGTTGTGCTACAACTTAGTTATGGTTGTGATATATTGACACTGTTGGGATGCAAAATTTTGTACTGAATATTTGAAAATCTCGAGAAATTATAAAAATATTAAGAGAATCCC